CCAAGTTCGTTAAATACAGACAGTATAGAGAAACATATAAAAATATTTTTACATAGAGTGTATATCTTGAAAACAGTAAAAACATTAGTAAGTATACAAATTCTATCTACATTTTCAAACTTTCCATATGGATATTGTTGAATCCCTCCTTTCAGTTTGTAAATGTTTTGGGGTTGTTATTTAAAGCTCTATATCTTTTTTTTAGCTAAAGTTTACTCAATGCAAGGCCAAAGAGCCACTTAATATAGAGGGTTACTGAAGAAGGTTTTCGTATGAGCGGTAAGAGGTAAGAAGGGCATGTCAGAAAGATAATAACTAACCCTCAACATGAAGAGGTTAAGATTGTAGTGGTCAGTAAACTATCCTCTCAAGAGTCCATTCTATAAAGTAGTAGTTTGTTTTAAGAAGCTGCCTGAGTGAAATTTCCTTCTTAATAATGAAATACAAAGGGAATTGATATATTTTGTCCCAGTGTATGTGGCATGATGGGTTTCATCTGTGAAGGTTGAAACTAGTGGAATGCAGATTGTCAGAATATTTTCCATGGAAATAACAATAAAGTTGTGAGGGTCTCTGAAGTTCCATCTGTGGGAAAGGAGTTGTAGGGTGGAAGATAATTCATTATACACAAGGTCATGTAAACACTTTTGAACACTATAAAGAGTGGAAAGTGAAGACTGTGCAGATCCAGCCTAAATATGGCTGCAGCACACTCTATTTTTTGTCTGATCTGGTTCTCGTAAAGGTAGAACCTAAGTAGGAGGTGTTAGGTACTTACTGGATCAGTACAAGAAACTGACCATTTTTCCAGCATTTTTAGTGATGGATCGTATAGATGTGTTCCACTTGAGGTTTGGGGTGAATACACATACACACACTATGTAAGGGACCGTCTTCAGAGAAGACCCATTCATCGCAATAAGCCAAAAGTCTGAGTATGTTTGATGGTGATGAAATGTTACTAGTTTGGTTTTGGTTTTTTGTTTGGTTTATGGCATATCAACTTCAATGGGTTATTTGATGACAACAAGGTTTTTATTGCTGTTAATATTTTTTTCAAAAATGTATTGTTGCTAATATTTGTTTTTTTTCCAAAGATGTATTACTGATAATAATTTTTTTACAAAAATTTATTGCTGGCATTAAAACCTATTTTTAAAACTTTCATAGTGCTTTGACCCCAGTTTGGGGGTTAACTATTTGCTGGCACTTAAGAGGTGGTTCCATGCTCCTCAAAACCTCCAGATCAGGTAGTTTATTGTCTTACCCAGGACACGGACGTAGTTTATAGTCATAGTTAGGATGCGTTTGGTTTTGGTGGTATTGAATGTTACAAACCATTTGTTCCCCTATTAGAGCTTGGTCAGAAGAGAGATCAGAAGCCAGGCATTGGTCATCTAGATTTTCAGAGATGCACCTATATACCATTATATCATCTGCATAGATATTCACTAAAGGTCAGAGTATGTTCTTAGGCAAATCATTAATATGAAGCAGAAAGTAGGTATGATCGAGAGGCAAGACTTTGGCTATGCTTGAATTGATCATATGGGTTTCAGAAGACTAGCCATTAACAATGACCTTAATGGACCTGTTAGGGAGGACTTGATAATTAAGAAAACTCTTCCACTTTGTGTAGCAGCCACTTATTCCACACCTTGTCTAAGGTGATCATCCTCATAATGAATTTATTGTCTAATTCCTCACCGATTTTGTGCAGTTAGGATATCAGTTGTGGATATAGCAGAGCAAATACCATACTGTTTGTCATTCAGGAGGTTGTCCTTGTTGAGGTGATCAAAAAACTTCTTGCTGATGATAGCCTCAAAGAGTTTGCTGATGACACTAAGGAGGTTAATGGGCTGATATTGCGATAGGGATGAGCACTCACCTGCATTCTGAAAAGTTGGGCATACACTTGATACCTTCCATAGACTTAGGAAGGATCTCTCCTTCTGACAGTAATATAACAATTTTGCCAAGATTGGAGATAACTCTGGGTAATGTTCTTAAGAACAACCACTGTGATTTTATCTGGACCACTTGTCTTCTTAGGGTCAAGGCTTTTGATAAATCTGGAGATATCACAAAGTTTGTGCTCCAATGAGAGAGTGGGGGGGTCAGATAGCAGATTGTGCTTGTTATTTAAGTTGGAGTTAGCTTTAAAGTTCATTGTGAAGAGCTCAGTCTCATCTGATGAGGTGAAATAACCTCAAGGCCGTTATATAATAGTAGGCAGTGATACTTTGCCTGTGTTAACAGATATAGACCATTCAAGTGAATTTACCATACAATCAGTAATTTCACTTATATTTAACGTCAGGAAGAAACAATCAAAATTTCTAGGTTAAATAATGGGAAGTGGAAGGTTTGGAGGATTTGATATTTACAGAAGAGATTGAAAACAAGAGATAGAGGAAAACAATGCATAACCAACCTAGCGAGCTTGAGTAAATGAATAGCGGAACAAGGTTGAGGATAAATAATCAAAAGACAAAATTTATTAACAGCTACAAAGGACATGAAATTGTGGAGAGCCAGAATGGCCAACATCCTAAAGACACATGACACAGAAAAAGAATCATATTTTATTTCAGTAAATTTTTTTTCATATGTGAATTTCTTATAAAAGCATTAATATCATGAAGCAAAAATGTATATGTGGTAAATTAGTATAGTAGGGAAGACTAGGTTCTGTAGCCATGGCTTGCAACCAGACTAAGAGAAGTACAACTTTAAATTCAAATCTGGAGCCAGAATCCCTAAGACAGTTCAATGTCATGTTTCATTCAGGCAACTCCTGCAATGGTACCAAGCTGTATTGGCCTCTGCCTTTCTCTTGGACAACATCAGTGACGTGAAGAGGGGAGATGTGCTGCATGGACCACTGTCGATTTCTCACAAAACAAAAAACAAAAAAAACAACAACTTGCACTCTTTGAGTACAGATCCAGGGTCTCTCATGGCTGATGGATGCCAATAACAGTAATTCATGTTTTTGTAAAAGATTTTGAGTTCCACTCCATGCTGTGACAGGAAAAGTTAATTTGAAAGCGAGTTTTTGTTTTTTAGAATTAACTTTCTTTATTCTAAGAGGAGTCATTTTATGGTAGTCCCAATATGTACTCAGCTCAATTCAGATGATGCCAGAATATATATTGCACTCACTGTTACACCAAATCATAAAAAAAACCCCAGGTGAACTAGCAGGATGACCTCTCATCTGTCACACCATCTAAAATAGCCATACATTGTTTGACCTAAACCAAATTTTTGATAGAAGTGCAAACATGTAAGGTGGGTACAAAGTACAGTTGGTTTTACTTGGGTGCATAGCTTAGTACAATAAATTTTCATTCATTTTTTTTTTTAAATTTAAGTTTTATTATTTAACATACAAAATACTCCCACTATTTTAAAAACAATTTAATGATTAAAATATTTATTTAATAAAAATGCAATAGTTTTATCTTTTTTACGTTTTCATATATACAGGAATCCAGTTTCCATATCGCCCTGTATTTGTGAGAACTATAAACAAATCACAAAGCCAAATGCTTTAAAAAGTTGGAGTTTGGTTCCAGAAAGAAATATTTACACATGGCCAGTTGTATGTTGCATGCTCAAGAGTAAGAAATCCTAAGAATATACTTAGCTGTTGAAAAGGAAAAAAATAAATTTTCTTAAAAAATATAGTTTACTGTAAAGTCTTATAAAAGTAAATTAAGAAACTGAAGTTGGGTTTTTGTCTATTTTTCCAAACAAATCAGCTTATTCAAATTTTATCAACCGGTTTGAAAATTTGAACAAAATGTAGCATTTGTAAATCTCGTCAAAAAAATGTTAGCGATAAGTTCAGCAATACTAAATACTGTGAGAATTTCAACACGTTAGTGTGTTGCAAAAAAATTCTTGTTCATGTGACAATTTAACCCTCAGATTTAAATAGTGGTGGAAAAAATTAAAAAAAAACTATAATTTTAATTCTATTAATGAAATGTTATATAATTACTTTAAGTAGTCAGCCTTGTGTCTGAGATAGTTGCATATTTCCCCAGTATCAGAGGTTGCTAGTTCAGTGCTAAGATTTGAATGATTTTTTTTTTTCATAAAAAATAACCAACTTTTAGCCCTTTGCCAAAGTAAACTAACCATGGTCAATATTTACAATTATGAAAGGTAAATTTTGAAAACAAATTTGAATCAGGACATCTTAGAGTGGAAAATAAAGGATTATCAAAAGTTTGATATGTATTTATTCAATGATAAAAATTTGTTTGTACAATTATGGGATTTACGCAAGTGTTTGTTATTGAGAACAAACATTTGATAAGACATTCCTTTCTTTCATTTGAAGACTAGCTTAGTAACAATCATACACACACACACACACACACATGTAGACTCAAAAAGGTTAACTTTGATTGGAATGTTCATACTTGCTTCTGGAAAATTGGAGAAATCTAATTTTGAAGAGAGAGCTGTTTTCACTAGAGTCTTTTTAATATTTATCTGCAACACCCAAATTCTACTTGGTAGACAAGTAAACAGAATTACAAAGTGGGGTAGCAGATGGGTGACTAAATATACCAATGATGACCAAATTTAAAGCTTAACTTGAAACAGCACAAAGTAAAATAGCTGTCAAATTATTGTGCTGTGCCAGGTCTTCTAAAGTTGAGAGGATTTGCCTGAAATCTTTGAATACCAACTAATGGAACAAGTGGAAAATATCTCAGTCACCAACCATCATGATTATGTAACCCACTAAGGAGAAGACAAAAAAAAAAAATGTCATGGTGTTCTTTTTTCTTTTTTAGGAGAGCTGTTGAACACAATCAAGTGCACCAACCAAAGCAGAAATGGGAGGAAAAAAAAAAAAAAATGATAAACTTGAGAATTTAAAAAAACGACTTGTATAATCCAGTTATGTACAACTGTTGAAAAGAATGAAAACAAGACAGATGAATTCTTTTTGGGATTTTTCTATTAAATATCATTTATTTTATTTCAATGAAAAAAGAATACAGAAAGTCAATCTGATACTCTGGAAAAGAAGAGAGAGAGAGAGAGAGAGAACAGAATAGACAGGAGAGGGGGAAAAGGGAATAAACTGAGATGAGTGAAGGAAATGACAGGTTCTGTACAAAGAAATAAAAGTTGTTGGGGAGGGTAAATGCCAGAATGTTTGCAGAGAGAGAGATAGTTAAATAGGGATCAAAGAGATAATTTGGGAGGGGTGGGAGCAGACTGATGACAAAGTTCAAGTGATAACAATGATCATTTTCTGAAAAGAAATTCTCGGTTCAAAGGCAGGAATGATGGGGTAAAAAAAAAAAAAATTAAATATTGAGTAATAATGGTTCTCCCAACCCCCAAATTTTTTATTAAGTCCCATTCTAAAAAAAAAAAAAAAAAAAAAAAAAGAAAAAGAAAAAATAACAAAAAACAGCTAACAAAGATAACAAAAATTCATTTTCTTTTTTTTAAATGAAAGCAGCTTTAGAAAACATGATTTTTTTTTTTTGCTTTAATCATTTCAGCAAAAAGGTGACATTTACTTTTAAGTTCAATGATTGATGTAAACAAGGGCTTTTCTTTGATAGCGTTTAATAAAAACAAATATTATTTTTCATGATTTTGTGTTTCGTTACACACACACACACACGTATATATATATATATATATTATATATATATATATATGTATGTATGTATGTATGTGTGTGCAAAATTATTATTTTTCAAATTTTTGCTGTTGATGAACCACACAAAAATCCAAATGTTTTGTTACTCTTCTGCTCAAAATATATTTTGGATAATGATAAAGATAATAGGTTATGTTTGACCTTTTTTTTTTTTTTTTTTTTTTTTTTTATATTTCAAGGCTGCCTCAGATTCTCTAATCAATAAATTGGTGATAGTTATAAAAGTTTATAACTCAATGGTATATACATCCATCTAAAATGATTGCAGAAAAAAAATGGCAGTAACAACATTTTTGGACTACAGTGTATTTAGTTAGATGAGAAGAATCCATTTCCAAAGTTTGCTGGCTTCTCATCATATGACATTATGGTAATTTACATTTAAAACATCAATTAATTGCTGTGTGACAATGATAAAAAATGAGAGGGAGGGGACATTGAAGAGAAATAGTAGTTCAAAGCTTAAAAAGAAAAGTCTCCCCCACCCTTACAGAAATGTAGTCAGCAAATATAATATTAACCTTTTCTAACTACTGTATGTGTATCTGTATTCCTGGTTTTAGCTCAGTAATGCTCATGTATTATTAAATTTTATTTGTATGTATGTGTGTGTGCGCGCATAACACTGAAAGTTTTTAAAATCAATATTGAAAATACCACAAGAAAAAACAAAAAAACAAACAAAATCCACATGCTTCAACAAGGTCACTAGTAAGAAAAAAAAAATTGTATTACATTTTGTTAAAAGACAAATATGTCCATTTTATAAGATTTCTCTATTTTTTTTTTATTTTTAAATAATACAATTTGAATAGAGATCATCTGAAATGAACCAGCCAAATTCGATAATCTTAGATGTCCTCATCATAAACATGTAAACTGCTAAATTAAGAAGAGATCTGAAATGTACATTTCATTAAATACTGACCTTGAGCAGGCTCATTATGATATTTTCACATTTTTCATGTGTATTTGATATTTATTAAAACCTTTATCAACTCCCAGATTTAACAGTCTAGTCTAGTTTAATGACTCACAAAAAGACATGTCAGCCACTTAGTAAGTGCTTCAGGGCAATCAAGATATTAATGAAAAAAAAAGAAAGAAAGAAAGAAGGTTAACAGGACAGTTTTACCAAACTCATTCTTGTGCAGTAACTTTGATCCTCACTGAGTGCTCCATTTTGACCATGTGTCAGCCTAGGTTAAATCTAGTAAGAAAGGCTTAGCTGGTGAATGAGGTAGCTGCGAATTTCCCATGAGGTTGTCATTGAAACAAATTAAAAGCCAGAGTTTTGAATGCTGATTTTCATAGCAGGTAGGCCATCTTTAATTGAAAGATTGGCACAAGACAATCTTCCTATCCTCATGGGTTGAATTAAATATTAAGGCTTTTAGAAGAGTCAGTGAAACAATAGATGTGAGGCAAAGCAGGGTGGTGATTTCGAATATAAGAACTGAAATTAAGTTGTATGCAGCTGAAGACAAAACTGTTATAAATGGTAGAAAAACAAAAGTCCTATAGACATAATATGCTAAACCTATTTTCATGAAGATATCAATAAGAAAAAAACAATTATGAACACCTATAATTATTTCCTTTTAAAGTTTGTCTCTTGATCCTAAAGCAAGGCAATCCCAAGTAAAATCCTAGCAACCATGCAGTGTATTTCTGACTAGAGATGTCTATATTCATCTTAAATTACTACTTTAGACATATAGATCAGCAATTAGTGCCTTCAGACTACCATTACTACTCTTATGATTATTCATTATAAATGTCGGGTGCCCAGAAAAAAAAAAAGACTTCTTAATTGTCTTCACACATACACATTACATAGTGGGATTATTTGGATTCTTGATGGACAAGTAATTAGGGACTTTCCCAACAAAATGTTTAACTGAGAACAACATGGTAAGCTTAGCTGAAGTCATTTTCTTATTTAGTAAGCAAACAACTGAGTTCAACTTCGTGTTAAAATGAAATATTACAGTATTTATTGTTACTCAATCTTTCAATTTAAAACTGAGGAATAAGACGGTAAATGAACTTGTTGAAAACAGATTTAATGTGATGACTTATCTGCTTGACAAGGTTTCATCACGAACTGGAGAGGCATAGTGATTGGCTGACATTCTTGACTAATCTGAGTAATAGAGAGAACCTAAACATGATTGATGTGACAGCAGTTGCAAAAAGCTGGAAGTAATTCAGCTCCAATGAAGTAACAATGGAATGTTGTAGAGGATAGATTAAAATTTGTACATTGGTTATATAGTAAATGCATTTTAAGAACAGAATCAGTTTAAACATTCTCTTTTAATGTCATCAAAACTGTCATTGCTACAAGTTTCAAGGAGTTTGCTCTCAAGTGCAATCAAACAGTAGCCACCCCTAAAGTTAACCTTATAATAATACCATAAAGGACATATTTATAGAGAGAACTTTCAGGTGAAAGATAGCTAAATTTAGCAGAAAAGATTTTCCTTGAGGGTACAGCCGAACATCACTCTAGATCTTTTTTTTTCAATTTAATTTGGCTTTCAGTGATGCCTCAACAGATATCATATCCTTGATATTCAAATAGTAAAGCTTTCTTGTTTCCAGGTAGTCCCAAGTATTATTGACTACAACATTAGAAACATCAGATCAGCTGTGGATGGTTCAACTAAAGTATACTTTGAGTAGCTTCACTGAAACAATTTGCTAATGTTTGGTGTAACATTGGTTTCATCAACCCAGTCACTTAAATTAATTCTCAAGTGGCCCTATTGAATGGTATTTTCTGTAAAAACACACTCTTTATTTGCCCTGATATCACATGGAATTGTTTTGAGCATGCAAATAAAATTTCATGGTCAGCTGACAGAAGTGGTCTCATCTCATTTCTCTTTACCTGCTCACAAAGAATGTTAATGGTACTCTGATCTCAATATCTTAAAATATTGAACTGGAAATTAAATGTGCCTGAGCCACAGAACAACTTTGAACAAGGGTGAATCTGGCAGATGATGAATTGTGGTTGATATCAACAACCCTTCGACCATTAACAGAATGGTTACAAAGTAACACCAAATGGTAGAAGATCACAGGTTATAATCTTTACTCAAATTAAAGAACTAAAATGCGAATTGATTTAATGTAATAACAGTTGTCAGTTCAGATATGAACAGTTACAGAATCAGTGAGGTTCTCTTACAAGAAAATAATGGTGTCTTGAAACCCATGGCCTATTCTTCACCAACTTTAATGCTGGCTGAATTGGGTAAGCTCAGATTGAAAAAGGAGCATATCATAGTAATGTGGGCATATGAAAATTTAAAAAAGACTTTTGGTTGGCTAGGATGGCCTACCTACAAGAAACATTTGATCACTAATAATATTCATCATAGGCATGGTTGAAAAACCTTTGCCTGTCAATTAATACAACTAATTCTTAGGATGGTCTCAATGTGCCGACCCTTTACATGCCTTTTGAATATTCTAACAGCCGACCCACCAAATGTTTCTAAAATATCAAATAAAGTTTCTAGCACTCCTGCCAGCAGCCAAAGTATATTGCAACAAACTTTAGCTGAATAGGATGTGCAACCAGTCAACATTGTACTACAGCACTTGCTCAAATGCATTATAGCAGATGCATTATGCATACACATACTGAATACTAAAATGACTAAAAAGGAAGGAGATATAAAAATATATATTGGCTATTAGCTCCAAAAGATCACTCTCACCACTCCTGTAATATCATTATTCATTATAAATGCATAAAGCCTTAGAGATAGAGGTGGTGGTACAATAAGTTGTTGGTATTGATTTTATTGTTAGCAACTGAACCAAATCTTTAGTTCTTCTAAGTGCATCCCCACATCCCATGCAACAAAAAAAAAAAAAAGAAGAAAGAAGCAAATTACAACCTTACAACCACAATGGAGAAAACGTTTAGCAAGGGACTTATATTAATAATGAGATTTGGAGAAACAATTTTGATTTTTTTTTTTTTTTTTAAAGTTTTATTCCATGATTTTTTTTTTTTTAAATTAATATTTATAGTTTTAACTTTCAAACATGTTATTTGACCATTTTATAGAACCTGAATAAAATATTTATGTTTCAATGCTAAAATTTAAAGACAACTTCAAAACTTTTAGTGCTGATGTTTTTGTTGCCTTAAAAGAATCAAATAAAAATTTTTGAAAAATATATTTAGCAGTAGAGTTTTTAAATCACCACAATCTATTTTGCAGGAGGAAAAAAATCCAAAAATCTGTATGATTAAAGATTTCCTGTTCTTTGGTAAAATCAGTTTACTTCTGATTGATTTATACAAGTACGTGTTCTCTGCTTTCTGGTCCATAAGAAACAATAATTGTTAATATCAGATATAATTATTAATTTGCTAATTATTGGATCACTAACAAGTCCCTTGCTGAACACATTTTAATAAATGTAGTTTAATAATAATAATAATAATTCAGGACTAACATACTCTTCTCCAGTTATGTAGTTGCTAAGCCTTTACTTGGGATAGCTTTGTTCTCAAGACACCTTTAATACTTACAGTCAGATTCTGCCTTCAAAGTTTAGAAAACAGGAATGTGTGTGTGCATGTGTTTCTCACTTGACAAAAGATAAATAAAATGAAGAGAAACTGAATGCAAATATTTCATCAACATAATCACAATTGCTGATCACACACACACATGCAAAAAAAACCAAAAAAAAAACCAAAAAAACAAAAAACAAACAACAACAAAAAAACTTATGCTAATGACTCCATAACTTCCAGATGAAATGTTAAAGTTCTTCAGTCATCAAAGAAGCATTTTAAAAGAGTGTTTTTCTGTTTACTTTCTATCGAATAATAAAATGATCCAATTGCCAAACTCTAGTATCTCAGAATTTATGGCAGTAAATAGAAATCAGAGAAAAAAAAAAACAAAAAAAAAAAAAAACTTATTTTCGGTGGGTTATATCAAAGTTTGTTGAATCTGTAATCCTATAAAATGGTTTAATTTTTTTCAAGATGGACACATTTCTTGTTTCCTGACCAACTAATTACTGACATTTGTGAATAAATGATATTCGCATAAAATTTTTTTAAAAATGATTGATATTCACAAAAAGTTTGTTAGTCTCATACTTGTGTTATTTTTTCCTTCTTTCATAATGAAGTATTTAGTAGGTCAGGGATAATAAACTAACAAATGATTTGGTTCTACACTTATTTTTTCTAAAAATCAAATAACATTTGTTAGGTTTGTTGTAAAAACGGTTTCTGTTATTAATGCATTAAATGAAATTCAGTATAATAGACTCCTATTGGGTTGGCTACAAAGTTCATTTGGTTATTAAATAGAAAATTGACTTAAACTGAAAGATTTTGGCCAATCCAATACTTTGTCACAAACGAAACTGCATTATATAAAATGTCTGAAGCTGATGAGATGGAAATATAATAGATTATTTGGACAAGTATATTTATCTTTGTTGCTTTGATGTAAAATATGAGCAGCAAAAAAAAAAAACAAAAAACAAAAAAAACACCATGCATAGCGGAATAAAATGCAAATGACAAAGAATTCGTTTAAGGGAGGTTACTCTGTTCTAACAATCGTTAATTCATTTGCATAACATTCATAAAATTCAAAATTTATCAACATCTTTAAAGCTTTACTAATTATGATTAGTATTGATATAAGCGGAGTTCTTTCCCTTGTTACCAATTCAAGTTTTCTGACTGCCAACAGAGGCAAATTTTCTGCTTGAAAAGTTAAAGATATTAAGCAGAGCTATTTGATTGTAATTTTGGTTCATAACTAAAGATTTTGTTACTAATGCTATCAGCATTGTTCCCATTAAAATCATTATTTATTAAGATCGTATAGAAAAAAGAATAAAAAGGAAATCCACTAAGAATGAAGCTAATCAAAGTCTTAAGGTGATGAGAAGGATATCGAGCTTAAAATCAAACGTAAACAAATATGCTAAAAATCAAGCTAAAAATAGAAAATCTAAGCAAAAGAAATGTTTATACTCATGATAGAGTGAAAATAAATCTTGTTAGTTTAAGAATGGTTGAAACTGATTACTCCAAAAGCTTCTTTGTTTAAAAATATTAAAAAATTAGTTCCACACATAGTAAACTTAAAAGGAACATATTTGTTGTTGTTAAGGTTGTTGTTAATGTCTGTCTATTCCACAGCAGGGAGAAAGTCTTGTTGTCTTCAAAATTAAATTATTAAGAGTACGGTAAGGGTATCATTGTCTTTTTATAGACATCCAATAAGTCTATGGCTGTTATGCTCACATCATTTAGCACAAAAATGTTCATGGGATGAGTTTCATTTATTTTGTGTGGTCAATTATTCTTCAATAGAGAGTGTACAATGTCTGAACCAAGGATATAAGGCATCATACGCAATATTAGATTTGTGTCGGTCAACATCTTACAACTAGAAAGTCAAATCATTTTTTTTCTTTTGACCACTTTTGTATATAGATTACTAAATATTAAAATTGGTAATATAATGTATGCAGAAAAGGAAAAGTGTTATTTGCACAATTGCTGGGTCATAGCAAGAATTTGATTTTCTATCTGGATATGCAAGCAATGCAAGAGAATGACGACAAAGGGAATCTATTCATATTAAAGAACTAATCTTATTAAATCCTAGCCTGTTCTGCTTTCAAATCTCCATTCAGTTTAGTACTGCCACCACTATGGAAACTGCTCCAGTATATCTGGGCCACCTTCTTGGAAATGTTAAAAGAAAAAAAAGTTTATCTTCAACATTGCCTTTCAAAAGCTTATTCACCGGGAGGAAGAGCTATGGACACATTAAAGATTGGTGCCAAGATTATCAACATCACCATTCTGGTTATTTCTAATCTCACATTAGACACCCTCCAATTAAACACACACGCACAGAGAGAGAGATCAGGGAATTTTTCCATATGAAGTTGTGTGCATTTTGACTGTATGAATGTAAGGAGAGAGAGAGAGAGAGAAGAAAAAAAAATAAAGAACTTGACAACAGCATCAGTTTTACTTTCCAGCTTTGACATCACTTTCTTTGGGGTGTGGGGAGAAAAAGGTGAAGAGAACAAAAAGCATATAAAGCTGTAGATATGCAACAAAAATGAAAGCTTAATTAGGTTATCTAAAAGATACAAAAAGCAACTTAAAAAGAAAAGAAATTTATATATATAAAATAAAATCAAGACATTTTTAAAAGCAATATTAAGAATTCATATCAGATATAGTTATTAGCAAGACGAATATTTAATAGAACATAACTACAATTCATTTTCCTCTGGAGTTAATTGTAATATTTTCTTTTTGCTCATGCAATTTGAAGTATTTCATTAGTAGACATTAGTAGCAAGTGAAATTACTGAATCGAGAAGTGGAGAAAAAAAAAAGGCATTTGATGATTGCAGGCTGTCACAAAAACAGCATTTTGGTTAGTAGTGTCCTAAATATGCCCTTAGGGTTGTAATGTGTTTGTGTATTTTATATTATATATATATATATATATATATATATATATACACACACACACAATTAAAAATAGCATCTCTACTAATGATGAATTTTTGAAAATTTTCTTAAAAAACGTGCAAGGGTTTGGCCTTACAATGACCATATCAGAGGGATGCAAAAGTAGGTATACAGTAATGAAAAATAAAATGTGTGCACACAAAATGTATTTATTTATCGACTGTATACCTACTTTTGCATCTCCTGTATACAAAAGAGAGGTAAACCTGCACATGTTGTCAATAGAAGTTATAAATGCATACATATGTTCATTATAAATATTTTGGAGACAATAATTTGCAACTAAATGCCCTTACTGCTACCAATTTTTAAGGTTTATTGAATCCTGCCAAGCGCTGTGCCATCCCAGGAATGGTTTAAAAGAGAGACTTAAAAAAAAAATCTTAGGACATCTGTGATAATATAGTCTCTTTTTCTTCGCTTCTTAGTTATTGGGTGACTCCCAGTTGTTGTTTCAAAGATACTTATCTTTGATGTTTGTAAATATTCTATAATGGCATTGAAGATTTGGTTCGTCTTCTTTTCTTAGGCTTATCTATTTTGGAATAATCATGGTGGAAATGGAGACCAATGAATGACTGTCCCTCTCCCAGTACATTTTAGGAATACTGATGTTTAAAATTGAATGATGATATCAAGCAGTGCACTTTACCGGGTTCAGCTATGTTTTTTGATTTATGGTAGATGAATGGGAGTGTAGTAGCACAGCTGACAACTAAATGACAAATTTAAGCTCCACCTTAGATTTACATTTCCCCTCCACTCTCCCTTCATAAGCTGACCAAATTTATTACCCCCAACTTTTGCTTTGAAAATCCAGCAACTTTTTTTTTCTAGAAAAAGATGGAGATTATGATGTGTGAAATGCTTGTGACTGACTTCCTAATGTTTGAACCATTTTACTGTGATAACAATTCTGCAATGATGGCAAGAATAAAAGAAAGCAGAGAAGTCACTTGACTAAAAGCGAAAATTGCGTTGAACTGTCATGGTGGACTAAAATTCTGCAGGAAGGAGAGAGAAAAAAGGTCCTGCTTCACGTAATCATCAGAGGTATAGAATAAAGCAGAAATCAAAGCTAAAATTTAAGATGAAGTTTCTAAATAGAAAGCAATGTAACCTCCCCCTGCCCTTTTGTTGCTGGTGCTTTCCCTAGGTGTACAACAATGAGGATGGGAGACTAAGGACATTCATTGAATTAGAAGAATTGGAAGGTGGAGGAGAAATAGAAAGAAATGAATAATATTTTTTAAAAGACAACAGAGATACAAATGCTAATGCAACATATGAATTGAGTATCTTAAGGAAGAGAAAAAACAAAAGCAGATGATTACAGAATTATTAAGTGAGGTTAATATTTACTCACTATAAAATTGTGAAAGCTTATTTTAATAAGACCTACAATTTATCTACCTGAAAAAATACTGTCTGAGAAGTGTTCTTTCTCAAGTTATACAGAATATATAATAAAAGTAGTAGATCCTCATTTGAAACAAACTGATGTGATTAGACTTTTCTTGATTAAAATAAGTAGGGGTAAAAAAGTCCCAAGTTACCAAGCACTATTTCATGCCTCATCGTGTGTGTGTGTGTGTGTGTGTGTGTGTGGCAGCTGACCTCTACATTTTAATGAATTTCAATTGTTTTTTGGGTTTTTTTTTTTAAGTCTTAAATATATTTATTTGTTCTTGGGGAAAAACACACACACACCCCAACACACACGCGCACACACACACACAAAGTTGAAAAACTACCCAAAATCCAGGACTTGTCCCTCATAGCCATTTCCAACCTTCCCCAAAGTATTGGGAGAAAGAGAGAGAGAGAGAGAGAGAGAGAAAAAGCAGGAGATTAAGGCTGTGTGGTGTACTTGGCATCCTTTAAGCTGGTTTCCACTTAACGGATTATTCACAGTAAAAAGGCTTCTAGGAATAAATAAAAATTTATTCAATTAACATAACAAGTTATTTCTGAATGGTTCTAAAGGTTGAGCAAAATCATATAATTGTCATCTGTTTGCAGATTGTTGGGAGGGAGAGGTAGAAAATAAAAATAATGTGGTCAACATGGGTCCTTATTACACAGAACTAAAGAGTGTAATCTACAGACTGAACATGTTTTGGCATTTAATTGGGTGAGAGAGTTGGAGGGGCGAGTGGGCAGTAAAGTTACAAAGAGGAGAGATTTAGAGAGAAAAGCTTTTTATGAACATGGTTATCTTCACTCTGCCAGGTTTGGACATGGTTGTCAAGATGAATTGGACTGTGGAGAGAGAGAGAGAGAGAGAGAGAGTGAGAGTGAGAGAGATGCTAAGTGATCTCTGAAGTGGTCAAGGGTTCACGAGCCTGGGCTTTGCGTTGATGTCGTCGATAGTGCTGAATTTCGTTTTTGGTTTTTTGTAAGAGTCGCCACTTGCTTCATTAAGTCCCGGTTTTTTGCCTGAAGAAAATAAACAGCATCAAAAAATCAAACTAAGAAACATTAGATATTATTATTTCTTATTATTCAGAAAAAAAAAAAGGAAATGTAGATACATAAATTAATCAAAAGTGATTTCCATTTTTACAAAATATTCTCATCAACAAAGCAGAAAAATATTTCATAAAAAAATAATAAGACTAAGAGAAATGAAAACATACACACACACACACACACACACACATGTATATCTATATATATATATATTTATCATCTGCCTTTATCACATTGAATAAGAAGAAAATACTTATGTTATTAAGACAACTTCAAAACATTTAGTGCTGGTTCTTTGGTTGCATGAAGAGACTCACACAAAAATTCTTGAAAAATATATCTGACAATTCCAGGTTTTCTCTTCATGGTCAAATAATTAATTACGTAAAGATAGATATGTGTTGAAAATTTTCTGCAAGCTTTAATTTGACAACGTAAAAAAAAATCATGAACTCTAGACTGCTTATATATGATGGAATCCCCCTGGATTTTCAACATATGAGGGTTCAACAGCATCTTCTGTCTTTCAATGACCATATTAAGGATATGTAACTTGTTTTTTTCCCCTTTTCACTTTTGTAAAGTGCTTGAACTAATTTATTGTTAATTCTTAATATTACATCTTAATGGGAATCTATTCTTGAGTGGTAAAAACTGAATGAGAAATTTGGCTTGACGTTTTTCCAACAAAGTGGATATTAAGACTTATACTAAATTAAAACTTAATAAACTTGCATTTTAATTTGCTTCAGTCAACTGTGTGTCTATATATATATATATATATATATATATATATATATATATATATATATATATATAATTTTTCAAGTGCCATTTGTTTGTGGCCGATTGGTTGTTCTTGGTATCCGGGAAGAACTAATTCCTTTGACAGAAGCCAAAAGAATAGTATGTAGATCATTAAGAAAATTAACCCTTCACCCTCCACAACCATCACCACCAATTCCATGTGAAATATTTGTATGCTTTCGGCCATGGAAATCAGAAAATTTAACTTCAAAGTCACCATAATTGTACAAAGCACCATTGAAATTAAGTCAGCCTACTCTGTCTGGATAATGCCCAATATAAATCTTGGAAAGAAGCAATTGAAGCATCTCTTGTAAGATTCTAGGGACAGGGACAGGGACAGACCCCCTACTACCCCCCTTCCCCCATAAATTTACTAGAATGTCAGTTAAACATCACATGGTCAAAAAATTCTGTGGGCCACAGATCGACTCTCTATATAAGTTATCTGAAAGTACATTCTTTGAAATAATTTAACTGGAAGTCAAACTGTTTGCTTTTTTTTTCTTTTTTAAACTTTTCAGAGGTAGGTCTGCCAGTTTTGTTGAATTTCTAATGGACATCTCGACTTTTACCGAGTTGAAACTTAGTAACTTTTTTTTTTTTTTTTTTTTTAAATAGGAGTAGATAAGATTTCATATTGCCAGGTCCATACTCCTCCCATTTCTCTTGAACAGGAGTAGAGGCTCATAGCTGTTTCCTGTTTAGGAAGGGGTTCCTGGTTCCTTTCCTTAGGCTTTAATAGTGGTGCCGTCATTAATTTTTTGTGATATGTATTAATGGTGGTAATACTGAGGGTACTTGGTTGGCAGTTTTCTGGTTGCTGTTCCTGACTGGTAGTTAGGAGTCGGAACACTAGCATAGCACCTTGAGAGGCTGCTCTAATCAACAGTCACATAATATCAGGAATCACTTCTTCTGGCTGTACCAGAGCGACATGTCCGATTGCAACAGACATCTGTCTCTGCTTGTAATGAGTACAAGCATGTTGTGGCACCATGTATAGTTAGCAAGCTGAAAAGAAATATTCATAAATATATGATTTGTTTTTTACGGTTTGTCAACCATTTGATAATTATTTAGAGCTGAAAAATATTTGGGTTTTGAGAATAATTCTTTCTTTACGTTCAAGCGATCTAGAAGAAAGAAAGAGAAGACAGAAGAAAAAAAAAGGAGAAAAATAAATAATACGAAACCAGGTCGTAAGCGAGCACACACACGCTCGACTGGCACATATCAGATGTCAAAAATATCAGGTCAAGCACCTGACCTACTTCCGTGTCCATGAAAAATGGAAGTTTGTTATCAAGTGGTTGAAGAAACAAAGTTTAGGGACAATGGAAAAAATATGATAGGTAACAGGTGGGAAGTTTATCTAAGGATATGAAGACAAACCATTAATACGAAAACACAGGCAATTCCAGAATTGAAAAAAAAACCACACAAGATGATGTTGGCTGAAAATGTTTTTTTGAGATAATGAAGATTTTTGTTATCAAGCTTCGAGGGAAAGAAAAAGTGAAATATTTTTATTCGTTCATGAAAACGCCACCCAGTCTGAGAAATCCCTTTCTTAGATCGTATCCAATTAGCGATAAACTGCTTGACAAATACCACGTGTTAAAAAAAACCGAAGGTGTCATCGCAGTCGCTCGTGATAAGGGCAATTTAAATTTTTATTTTTTTTAAGCAAGGTGTTTCTTCCCCCAGAACAAAGCCACGGATTGTCCACGCCCGACTAAAGACGTCATTGGCTAGATGGGATCACATGGCGCACGAAGGAGGAAGAAAGATACCCGACCAGGACCTCATTGGCTGAGAGCGGTCACGTGACGCACGAGGAGAATCGGTCGACGCCCTTGTCAGAGGTGTAAGTGTGAGGGGCCGATACGAGGAAGCGGGGAAGCGGTATACCCTCAGAGACACAATAAGGAAGTAGGAGGAAAGTGAATTACCAGAAAATGGAAAATCCCAACCAGAAATCCCCAACCGACAGAAATCAGTTTTGCGCCCGCTGACGGCGAGGGAGATCAGCCGCGGACGGCGGGCGGATTCATTCGCCCCCCTTTGCGGGCAAGAAAGGCCAGTTCGTTTGGCCTAAGCGGAGAAGTTCGGCCCAATGCATGCTGAAGAGAAGAAGTTAATTCGCGCGACTGACGGCGAAGATGAGTGACCAATAATTCAGACTCTGAAGAGAAGGAGTTTGCGCCATGGGACGGCGAGAGAGATCAGCCGTGAACGACAAGCAAAGATCAGCCACGGACGGCAGTTTGAGCCGTGAACGACAAGCAGAGATGAGCGCCCAGTGTTGAAACCGCGTCAAGATAGCTAACCAAGATTCACGCACACTTCTGGACTCTTCTTCAACCAAGAACAAGTAGTTTGAAGAGCGACTTAGAATCAGACCACAGAAATAAGTTTTTTTTCGACTTTCGTCCAAGGACACGCCGAAACACAAATTTCTTAGAGAGCAGACAACTGGAAGCCTTAAAGTTGCCTATTAAAAGCGCCGTGCCACAATCCACAGAACGGGTCGGGAAGCAGACATAGTCCTATGTACTGAGCAATTAGACATAAAAGTTTGTTACCTTTTTCTTGATACGTTGGACCTTGTGAGTTTTTATTTTATTTCTTTTTTTATTGTACATAATTGTGTGTTATCACCCCGTTAGACTCAACTTGCATTACGGCCCCAAGCCCTGTTTGATCTCGTCTGTCTAAGATCAAGTCACAACGATGGGTAGGCAGACCGAGATCAGTGCAGTTACCCTGGTAACCAGGCGTTGGAAGCAGGTTGGGAACAACGAGGCTGGTATCAATCTAACCAAAGGGTTAGAACGTCACATTTAGAGCAGTGAGGAGCGAACAGCTGACGCCGCGACAAAAGACGTCACAACTGGTGCTGTCCGTGACCAGGATATCAGAGTCTGGGGAGCACGTGACGTCACAATTGGCGCCGCGAACGGGATCGAACGACACAGTCGACGCTGCGACTGGGGGACGACGTCACAATGTCCTCAAAGAAGTGAAGTTACTGTTTGCTGACAGAATGAAAGAACATATAGCATCTCATAAGTTTGGTTCTAGAGATTATTGGCAGCTCTGCAAGTGTGTGCTGAACAGCAAATTCTCAATCCCATGCCCTGACATCTACAGTAGATAAGATTGAAGGTTTTGCTCAAAAATTCTCTTCCAACACTCAATTCATTTGGAGTACCCACACCTGATTTCCCCACTATAACAGAGGCTCTGCTGAGTGATATGCACATAACCATGTCACTGGTCTCAGACGTAATTTCTAAGACTCCCATAAGGCAAGCGGATGTGATGGGATCCCAAACATCGTCCTAAAAAAAAAAAAAAATATGCTCCTGAGCTGGCTCCAGTTCTCTCCAAACTCTACAACTATTGCCTTGCTACTTCCTGCTTTTCAGCTTATTGGAAGCCCTCCTATGTAGTTCCAGGTTTAAAGAATTATGGAGAACTTTCTATCGTCCTATTACTCCCCTAATGCTTTTTGGCAAAGTATTCAAGGCTTTAATCAATGCTGAAGTTGTTAAGCATCTTACCTCTCATGAACTACTCTCTGATAAAAAATATGGCTTTTGTTTTGGCAGGTGTATCACTTATGTGATAACAGCCATCAATAAATATGTATATCAAACTCTTGATAATAACAGCAAAGCTCAAGCTGTGGCTCTAGATATCTCGAAGGTGCCTGACAGGGTTTGTCATGTTGGTCTTCTACATAGGCTGCAGTGCCACGGTATTACATAACAACTGTTTGATTTAATCCAATTGTTCCTATCCAATCGTGAAATGAAGGTCATTTTGAATGGGCACACTTCCAGATACTTTCACACAAACGTGAGTGTTTGCCAAGGCTCTATCCTGGGTCCTACGCTGTTTCTGATCTTCAATGATCTTCCTGATGTCATCATTTCTCAAGTAGGCATTTATGCAGATGACACTACCATTTACCCCTGTCTCAATAGCAAATCCTTCAAGGCTGACAAAGTTAACCTGGCCACTGCTCTTAAAAAGGACCTCCAATTAGTGGTTAAATGGAAAATTTGTAAATTTTAATGCCTCCAAAACTAAACTGCTCTCATTTAACCACCATAGAGAAATTTTCATCCCGCCATCAGCATGGCTGATTCTCAACTCCTGAAGAGCGATACACTGCGCCTTCTTGGCCTTACATTTTCAACTGACTTGAAGTAGAATGACTACATTGAATCAATAGCTGCATCTACTGCAATAAAGTTGGGTCAGTGTGTTGTACCAGAATGTTTTTCTTGTCGGAGTTCACCTTGCACATTTACAAATCTACCATTCATCCATGCACAGAATGCTGTTGCCATATCTGGTCTGGTATTCCTGCTGTTCATCTTGAGGTTCTTGACAAAATCCAAAGAAGGATCTGCAATGTAATCAATCCTGACTTGGCATCTTGACTTCAGTTACCAACATGATGGGGCTTTCCTGTGGCTTTTCTACAAATATTTTAATGGCAACTGCTCTGACAAGGTTTTTTACCCTGGTGACCTGACTACATGAATTTAACCATGCTCCTAGATTGGCATTTAGGTTGCAACTTTTTACTGTCAAAATAGTTAAATGTAACCACTTCTACTCCAACAGTTTCTTTTCTTGCAGTTCCCACCTGTGGAACTCCCTTCTGTTTACTTGCTTCCCCAAAAACTACAATCTTCAAAATTTTAAATGCAATGTCAATCACCATCTTCTGTCCATATTTTATCTTTTCTTAAATCCCCACTATACCCAATCTTTTCTTTTACCTTCATTCTCTGTACCCCCCTGCGTACTAGTGGCATTTCCGCCTTGCTTGGGATGAAATATATATATATATATATATATATAAAATTATCAAACATGAGCATTTTATGCAAAACTCTTGAGAAAGAAAAGAAAGGTCACTTTAAATTTTCTTAATTCATTGAAAACACACACACACACAGTTTTTAAATGATGTTCCAGAAACATTCTTTCAAAACTTGAGTCCATCCTACAATTCTTCCAGATTCGTTGAATTTTGTGATAAATAGTGAATTGTAGCCTCAGTTTCCTATCTATCTGCTCCTGGTGTGATCTGCTGCTGCTGCTATAGCCCATCTGCTTCAAGGTTCAATGTGCTGTGCATTCAGAGACGTTCTTCTGTATACCCCCATTTGTAAAGTGTTGTTATTTAAGCTACTGTTGCCTTTCTATCAGTTTGAACAAGTTTGGCTATTCTCCTCCAACCTTTTTAATCAACAAAGGACTTTCATCCACAAAACTTCTGCTCACTGGAATTTTTTTCTTTTTCTGACCATTCTCTGTAAACCCTGGAGATGGTCATGTGTGAAGAATCTTACTAGATCAGCAGTTTTTGAAATACTCAGACTTGCTCATTTGGAATCAATGATCATGCCACTTGAATCCCCTTTTCTTCCCCATATTAATGAATGAAATAAAATTCAGCAGGAAGATCATGTTTAAATCCATTAAACTGCTGCAATGTCATTGGCTGTTTAGAAAACTACATAAAAAGCGCATTTGTTCACATGTGTCCATAAGAGTCCAGTGAGATTGTGTGTGTGCACATCAATAAGTCTGCAGCCTAGAGAAAAGGCATTCATTTTGCACAACAAATATTTCTTAACATAAACTCCATTTTTATCCATGCATTAAATTAAGTACATAGAATATTAAATAGTGATGATTTTAGATCCAAATTCTGCTAATAATTATCTATTATCATGAGGGTAGTTAGAAATAAAATGAAAGCTAGAGGAACTAACTTCTAATCAATACACTTCAGTTGCACCCTGATCTGCATCAACACTCACTCTCCTATTACAGTAATGCAGCAAATATTTTAGCTTACAAACTGCCCATTTTATTAGACATTGTAAGATTTGCAGCTTATTTGCCATTTGTTATTTCAAGATGAAATTTTAAAGGATGCAGTACTTGATAAAAAATTCAGTTTGGGTATTTTCCTTATTTTGACTTCACATGCCATTATTCCACGTCAAATCATTCTTACTGAAATATGTTCATGCAAATCTAGTAGAAGAAATGTTTCTTAAACTTACCAACAGCATAATCCTCGAGCCACAAATTATATATAAGAAAAAATTTTAAAATGAAAAAAGCTTACACTCAGTTCATCTATTTTTCTAGTATGGTCCTCTTGTATACTGGAAATTTTGGTCCTGTAATTTCTCTCTTGATCATATTGAAAAGCCTTTAATTCTGTGATCTATGAAGATAACAAAAATTTCAAGGTCAACAGTGTTTGTGTGTAGCCCTACTCAAGCAAAACAATTTCAAAATAAAATTCTTGTCATTTGAAATTAAAATTTTAAATGATTCATGTCACTTCAATCTCATTATCAAAAGAAACACAAATTAGTGCATTAATTACCATTTAATGATATCATTTGTGGAGAGATTAATATTAAACATTCTTTACATGTTGAATTTAATGTCTACTCTATACTAATATCAATTTGTCACATAATAATCATTGTATTTTAATTGATAAAATAAATACCAATTATTAGTACATGATGAAATTACTTTTGTTTTGCTTAAGAACTTAACTAGATTTATTAAAATAGGAACAAAGCTTTGTTACATTGGAATTTAAAAATTAAACAAATCATAAAGCATATATTGCAAATAAAATCCTATTTGGCTCATTTTTTTTTATTTTTATTGTTATTAATGGTGATATTTTACCTTGAGTTCTTTTTCCTTCAATTGCATATCTTTAGCCAACAGCTGTTTTTTATTGGCTTCAATTTGATCATGTAACTTCTGAATTGCAATCACATGATCTGAACTGTTGGGATCCATCAGGGCTGCATCAGCAAAACTCAAATTCAAACTACTGTGAGACAGAAATAAAACAAAAGCCAAAGCAAATTTAATGATAATAAATATTAAAAGCAAAAACAAAATTCTATGAATAATTTTTACCTTTATTTGCTTTTGTCAGAAATTTGTCCTTTAGTTAATTAACAAAATTAACAGAAGGTAAATATTTTTTTTTCAGGACATGATATTTAAGTGGACAATTTTGAAACAGGATCCAAGTATTTGATGACTTGCCGAGCAATAAAAAAAAAAACATAGAAAGATGGTGTATATAAAAATTGAACAAAATGCCATAAAATTAAAAATCTGAGGGTAAACTAGTATATTAAATTTTATTGGATTTTTAATTATCTTACATTTTTACACTATAAATTTGATTTTTTTCAGCTCATCAAAATAATTTATCAAAATTAAAATAAAATATTCATCACCTCATCTAAATAAATAAAAGATGAAAAAAAAAAAAAAAAAAATCCTATCATTCCATGAAGTCAGATTATTCATTTATTTTCAAATGCTATCAAATCTGTGAATTCCAGCACAAAATATGTGCATACACATACCAGCATTAAATTAATGGGTTAAAGTAGGGGAAATATTCAATTAAAAAAAAAAAAAAAAAGTTAATACATCACAACGTCATTTGATATCTTTACCTTTGAAAGAAGGAAAAAAAAAAAAAAAAAAAATCACCAGTGATGAAAAACAATCCAATTTTAGATTTATATTCTACACTATTGGTAAAAGACAGAAAAAAAAAAAACTCTAAACCAAACGAACTCATTGAATCATGAAACATAAAACAATGTGTATGAGTGATTTATAAAAGACAACTTTTTTTTTTTTTTTTTTTTTAAAAAGGTTTATTGAATCTGTTACCTTTTGCTGGTTGAGAGACCATTACTTATGCTTTTTTCCATCTTGGACTTCTTTGAGGGAGGACTGTGTTCAAGTAATCTGCAAAAGATGTTAGAAGCAATTCTTTTAACAAAACTCTTAAAATATCAAACCAGAGAAAAAAAAAATATTTTAGCATTATCTAAACTAAATGCATTATTGAAAAATCATTGTTTCTGAGATAATCTAAGTAACAACACAAAAAACAACTTATTACTGTGCCTTATTTTAACTAAATGTTAAACTGAAAGGGTGGATCAGAAGCATAAGAATTGTATTATGAAAAAAAAAAAAAAAAAAAAATCTAAAAAAGCTTACCTCAATTCTCTACAAATGGACTCTTCCTCTAAGATGAAGCACAAATTGAATTTTTCTGTGCAATTTTTTTTTGTTTCTCATTTGAACCAAAAATGCCCTTGAAGTCTACTTAAGCAATCATGTTTAGGTTTAAAGAGGGTCACTTCCCCAGGCAGCATTTCTCTCATTACATAAAGACAATGAGGGACAGAAGCAATGTCTGATGTGTTGCAACACGAAAGTGTCAAATGGCAATTTTTGCTTCCAATCTCAAATACACACAAAATTTCCATTTTAAAAATGGCCTTGTGACATGTTCTGTTCTAGCAGGCCTTCAGATAAATAGTGGTACTTTTTCAATTGTCTAGTCAATGTAGGCTACTGTCAAGTAGCCACTATCTACTCAGTAATATTCTTCCTGAAAAGTTTTGTTTACCTGCTTAATCTTTCACAAGACATGAGAGTGGGATTCCTGCTAAAAGCTTATTTCCTTACAGCAAAAACTTTTAAGCAACTTTATTCAAAGAAATAAGAAAAATTTAAGAGGACTGCAAGACAACCATGTTGAGAAAAACCAGCTGATGACATGGCTAAAAGTAATGAAGAATATTTAGATAACATTTAAAGATAATTCTTGAATGATAAATTATTACTCTTAACCCAACCCACTTACGTTATTAGTCAAAAATTATTAGACACAATATATAACTAATTATATAATCATGAACAGAAAGTCTTAGGAATAAAGACAAAAGGAAAACATATCTTAGTCAATGTGTTTCATCATCTGAGGGAGTTTATCACGGCAAATGCAAGGATTTTATTTTGTTAACAAGTATTTTTATGCAAGAGCAAAAATTTAATTGATTTTGCAAAATTTTTAAATTTAGGAACACTCATAAATATTCACAACCAATATTGTTGTTAAAATATAACTGCAAGGATGTTTTTTTTTTCTTTCAAGATACACAAACTGATTTCCTCAAAGTGCTTAAGAAAAATTTACAGTGTAAGTAAAAAGAAAAAACAAAACCCTGAAAATATGATTACTAAGTTATAAAAGGAAGCATGCGTACACGATTTTTATACAACATATTTCCCCAAATCAGAAGCATCTTGTGAATACATTTTAATAGTTAATCAATTCATTACCGTCATATCATCATATGTATCAAAGCACAGATAATTCACAATTGGTCTCATTAGAAATTTTCAGTAAATATACAGGAATGCATTATGGCAAGAGAAGACAAATTGTAACACATAAGCTGCATGCAACTCTTTGATATAAAAGGTAAAAACAATTCATATTTACTATTACATGAAACTGGGTTGAGTTGGTAACAATAAAAGAATTGATTTTGTTTTTTTTTAAATTTCATCTTCCATAGATTTATACTGGATAATCTTATCTCTGAGAGGGTAGGGTGACAGTGATGGTAGTCTCTTGTAGCTAATTGCCAATTTATATTTCTATAATATTTATTATTTTTGATGGTCTAATTTCTTGTTGCTAAAATACAAATTCACATAATTTTTCATCATTGCTGTAGTTCATTATCAAATTAAATATACAATATATTTAACACTGTTTTAAATGTTGCATATATTCAATTTGGTAATAAACTATGAGAACAATCAAGAAAAATTAGTGAAAAATAAATGAAGAAAAAACATTTTGTATATATTTCCTTTGTGATTACTAGAACCAATTAACAGTTTACATGCAGTTGTTAATACTGATATAAGATGTAACAAAAATACATATAAATTTTATTTATGTCTTGTGACTCTCAAACATGTCACGATTATCATCTGTGGATCTTAAGCAAGTTTTTCTGAACCCCTTTGAATTGTTTATGCAGCAAATCTCATCAAAATAAAAGACTAATTCTTCAATAACAAGCAAAAGAAACTAAGACATTAAAGTAAATGCTTTCAGATACTTACGAACTGTTGAGAGATTTGTTTTTATGGGAGTTATGATGTAATTCCTTAAATTCATCTTTTGGAGTTGTATTCTTATGGGATTTGTGATGATGATGATGGTGGTGGTGGTGATGGTGGTGGTGGTGTTCCTTTTGTGACCCTTCTTTGTGGCTTTTGTGGTGATGTTCCTTGTGTCCACTGCCACTGCTGCCATCCTTATGGCTACCTACACTGCCCTCGGCTCCATCAGGGCTGCTTGTATCATCGCTGGCATCAAATCGGCTGTGACGAACCCGTTTCGTGTGTTGCTTATTCTTCTCCTTATTTTGATCAAATTGTTTGCTGTGTTCCTTTCCTCTTTCAAAATTTTTGCCAGGTTCTCGATTTTTCTCTTTCATCATTTTGTCAAACGATCGACTTGCGTCCTTGCTTCGGTCAAAGCCACTTCGGTGGTCTTTAGTTTTGTCAAAGCCACTGCTAGAGCTGCTGTGGTCTTTATTTTTATCTGATGTTGGTCCAATCTCTTTGGCTTTGTCAAAGGCGCTATTGTAATCCTTGTTCTTCTCAAAAATACTTGTAAAATCTTTACTGCTTTTCTCAAAGAGGCTGACATGATCCTTTGATTTCTCTTTGCTCTTTTCTTGACTTGATTCTTTGTGCTTAGTGAAAGCTGAAGCATTGTCCTTGTTTTTCTCCAGAAGACTACTGCTGCTTTTGCGAGATGAACTGTTGTTGCTACTGCTGCCACTACCATCAAAATTCCCCCAGCGTGAATTCATACTCTGCCTTGCCTCCTCTTGTCGATGTCGTGTCTTAGCCAGTACTCGCTTGTAAGCTTGAGTACACAGCCAACAAAGCAGTTTGCCATCAACCTGAGGTTGGAGGAAAAATAAAGATCAATAAAATCAACTGAGTCAAAATGTGAGCAAAATCACAAGCATTTACAAATACAAGAAAGAAAATGAAAAGCTTTTGTCTCACTTTGTATTTTTTTTCGACAACAAACGTAGTAATGAGTGACACTCAAAGAGTACAAGAGAACCTTTTAAACCAACAATTCTATGCTTTAATCATAAAAATAAAAGCTTCAAAAACACTATCAGACCAATCACTGTAACATTAGACAGCACTAATAAGTCTGCATGAATATATTAATTAGCCAGGTTTCTAATTTATAAATAAGTTGAGGACTTGAATTTTTCTGATACACTTTTGATTATGCAAATTTATTTTAAATGCATTTAGAGAAATTGTTTAAAAAATGAAATTAAAATAAGGAAACAGTGTTTTCTCTAATGAAAACACTGTTTAGGAAAAAACAAAAAACACTGCGTAAAATTTTTGTTGGTCAAAAGTAGGTACTTCCACTTTTTCGCAGGAAAAACAGCATAGCATGATTAAAAAAAGGCCCCAAACTCAATAAATAAAAACAAATTTTTTTTTCCATCTCAATGTTTATGTTATTACTAAGAGGAAAGATCAAAGTAATCTTTTCTTTTATTAATTTTTTGAAATTTTTTTAATCCTTTCTAGCACATTTGAAATTTTGGTTAAGAATCTTGTTTTGTTTACGTCAAAGGCTGATGCAACGATAAAGATTTTTTTTTGTGCTTTTTCCGGTGAAAAACACATTGACTTGGAAATTCTTGTAAAAAATCAAATAATTGTCAGATTTTAATGAAACTTTCAGGACATATTCAGAAATGAATGAAATTATTTTTGAAATTTTTTTTTTTTTTTACATATGTTACTACCCACTTAATTTCATGAAATTTTGAGAAATTCAATTTGTACGGCAGGGATTTTTTTTATTAGTTAAAAGTAGAACTCCTTGGAGAAAGTAAATGAATTTGTTTTGTAAAATAGTTACCTTTTTCACCAAAAATCTGCTCTGAATTGTAAAATAAAAATGCAATAGAACTATGACATTATTTAATTAGAAAAGATTTTAATTACTTTGATAAATAAGATTTATTAAGGACACTATTGTCTTAAGAAAATTTTTATCAGCAAATAATTAATTTTTACAAGAATCATTTTCATTTTTTTTTTTTTAAATTTATTGATACATCAATAAAGATCAAAGGAAAACAAGACCTGTCATTAAGAAATGCTTGTATATCAATTACTTTTTTATGCTATAATATTTCAAATCAGATTAATTTAACTTTAACTTTGCTAATTTTACTCAAATAACATGTCACAAATACATTTTTTTCCCCCCGGAAGATTTTTAAAACCGATAATTTTGTTTCATTTAGAAATTTCTTAAATATGTGTCTATATTTCTGAGATGAGGTATTAGGTACCCTATTTACAGTGTTTGGACTACCATCCTCATCTTTGTTGCCATATTTATCACAACATTTCAGCTATTGTATGCTCTGGCCTTCTTCAGGTGGTTGGAATATCGAACTGAACCATTTATTTCGCTTGCTGGGGTAGACTGTTCTAGTTGCACGTGCCATGTCTAATGGATGTCAGTTATTTGTTAATTCCCCTCTCCAAGTTCTCCAATTTTGTAAAATTAAGAAATTTTTTTTTTTTTTTAAAATCAAGCAAATATTTGACATTCTAATCTATATAATTTCTATTTTAAACACACCAGAATATTTTAGTTACCAGAAATAAATTTAATCATTTAGCTTTCAATTAAAGCTAAAATGAAATTTTCAAGAATGATTTTCCATTTTTAAACATTCATTTTAAACCTTAGGTATCAAAAATTCAGTGGACATACCTATTCAAAAGTGATTTTGCATTTTTGTGAAAGAGCATGGTAATCTGTATTCCCCAATACAGACAATAAAAAGGCAGAGTAACTGCAAAAACCCTAAGACAAGCAAAAAAATAAATAAAACTGGCTGTAGCCACGTATCAGGATCATGGCAGAGAAAACACAGAGAATATTTGGTTCATAGAACATCAGGGCTGTATTCAAGAATAATCTCAATCTATACAGATGTCTCACTATAATGAGTCTCCACTTGTACAAAAGATGGCTAAAAACTGTATTGTACAAAAGACTAAGAATTGCATGTACAACATTGTGTAGTTGTGATAAAGAGTAGAAGGGTGAGACTATTATTTGAAGTAGGTAGAAAGCTGTAATCTATGGAGAAATTTTAAAATCTGGAATGGTTGATTGTCTGTGGTAATGAAGGTGTACTAACATTAAAATAATAGGTAGGGATCAGCATCAGAGAATAAGACAATTGGAAGAAGCAGCATATATACAATACTCAAATGATTTGATCAGCAAACCAAGTATAGACATCAATAATATGTTGCAATGACTGATTAAAAAAAGAACAATGAATTTTAGGTTGCAAAAACATGATAAAAAAAAAGTGCTAGTAAAATTAAGGTTTAGCACATAGGTCAGTAAAAAAAAAAAAGTTCCAAGAACCGACAGGCAGAGAATTGCATGCTCCCTTCAAACAAGAATTGATATTCCAAAATACAACAAATATCCGAGTACAACAGCCAAAATATTGTGATAAAACAAAATGACAAAAGCAAACAAATCAATTTGCAATGATTGCTAACAATTTTCTATTATAAGTGACCAAAACATTTAAAAATGTGGATTTAACTGAAAGGGAATGACCAACATCAAATGAGGAGTCCAAGAAGCAAAAATGATAAAAGAATGGCATAATAGAAGAATTCCTAGATTTAAAGAATAACAGAATGGTGCCAAGAATAGAGGTGAAGAATTACAGACTTGTATGTATTAAATCAACATTAAAAAGATGTAAAGAGACTCAATGACAATCAACAAATAGAATTACTTCCCATCATTGCAAATGATATGTAATTGAAGGTGACTCCCTAAAACATTATTATTGATTTTTTTTTTCTCTCTATTTTTTTTTATATACCATATCCCTTCAGAGCATAGGTGATCACAGCTCTCCACAGATTATATTTTTTGTTAAATTATCTGAGAAATGTCATTGGGAAACCATGTATTGGTTTCCCATTATTATCTCTAAGGATTTAAATCTTTAAATTCAGTTGTTTTTCTCTTAGACTGGTTGCTACACAAGAATTCAACTTACCCTACCACTTGACATAGCTGGGGAGGTTGGTAGAAGAAATGGACTCCAGACTTTCCTCTCATTTGTGTAAAAGTGAATGCTAACAGACAAGAAAGGAATTTGAACTCAGCTTACCAATTCCACTTTCACTGCCGAGTTAATGGTTATGCTATTTACACAAATTATTAAGAAACAAAAAATGTCGGTTGGTTTTGGGATATTTATTCCCATCATCAAAATATTATGTTCCGAAAAAGATGAAAAGTATTGAAATAAATCAATTGCCTAAAGGAGAAATTAAAAATTAAATTTTTAAAAATCCTACTTTTTTACGACTGTCATCACTCCTGTCAAAAGCACATCGCTGCTTGCACTGTTCACAAGTCTGAGGTGGGCCCCATTTCTTTTCAGAGTTGGTACATCGTTGACATTTGTTCCCAATAAATGAAGCAATCACATTGCAGTATTCACAAGCTGTTGGCTGTAGAAAATAAGAGTATAAAAGAAAATTATTTAGCTCAAAGTTTAATATAAAAACATATCTATAAAGTTTGTACATGAGATTTTGATGGTTAATCATTTCATGCAAATGAATCAACAAATTTGAAGTACAAATCAAAATGCTCCATAATAATTTAGTAACAGTATGAACAAAGTGATCTAAATTGTACAGCTGGCAACAGTTTGCATAGATTTTCACCAAATATTTGAATGCTATTTTAATGGGGTCATCTTGTTGCACATAATATATGAGGCTGATGCAAGCAACAAACTATCATGAACACAATATTCTAGACATTGATGACAATAAAACAAATAATTTAGAATTGCTCGAAGCTTATTCACATAGAAGTAAATACTTGAATTCAAAATATATACTGTAGAAAGATTAAATGATGACTAAAAAGGATTCCTTACTTGAAATTTATAAAAAAAAATTCTTAAGTAAAATGACATTAATAATGAGCTTACACTGGCTTTGTTATGGGTGGTGGTAAAACAATAACCCTAGCAAGTTGACACATAACAGAGTACAAAGCAAATGAACATATTAAATTGGGTTGTAGATCAACATTACATACAAATTCACTAATGAGCCAAAACATTATACCTGCTTGCTTAATAAGATTAGGGTGTTATCTGATAAAGCATGAACTCCACAAGACTTCTAAAAGTTTCCTCGGGGATATGGTGCCAGAATGTAAATAGTAACTTTAACTGTAGCAAGTTACATGATAGAGATTCTGTAGAGCAAAATTGTTGGTTTAAGGGTTTATTAGGATTGAAATCTGTAGAGTTTGGTAGTCAGAGAAACACACTTCATGTTCCTGATGAGACTATTTCTAGACAACTGGTAAACTCTGGCCATGTGGATTGTCTTGCTGAAAGATGCCACTGCCATTGTAAAAAGGCTCTTGCGATGAAGTGTATCTGCTCTTCAATGATGCTGAGGTAAATGATACACAACAAAATACACCCCCACTAGTCTTTCCTTAAATTTGGAAGCTGAATGTTCTGCAATCCATCACACTGCATCTATTGGCTTGTTGTTTTCCCCCTTAGAGTGCATTCTTGTGCCATTATTTCTAAGATGAGAGTGCACATGTACCCTGTTGTCCATGTTATTGAAAGGAAAGCCAGACATTTGACCAGGCATCCTTCTTTCATTCATACAAGATCTAGTTCTGATATTCACATGCACATTAATGACGGTTTTGGTTGATTGATTTCTTTTCTATGATTTATCAAACCTTTCTACAGTTTATTTAAAGCCATAAAATATTTATTTTATTTTTGAGATAGTGATTTAGTGATACAAGTCTTACTAATTAACCCATTTCAGGAGGTGAATTCATACCTGTCCCAAGGTTATTTGCGCCTAATTGAATATGACAAACTCAACAGGATTGGAACTCTGCTCTCTGATTAAAAATTCCAAGCCATTATCCATTACACTACCCACACATCCAAGCTTACAGTACCTGGTATTCCCAAGTGATCACCCATCTAGGTACTGACCAGGCTCGACGTTGCTTAACTTTTGTGATTGTATGGGAACCAGTATTTCAATGTGATGTGGCTGTAAGCCAGACAGTTTTGATGACGGACATTGGTTGGAATGGCCACTGACTGGCCCGAAGTTGTCCAACAGACAGCAAGGATTGATTTACTGTGTACTGTGACACATTCTTTCCTTCACATTGATTAAAGCTATCTGCAGTTTATGCCACAGTAGCCCTTCTGTTGGTTTATACTTTAGCCTCTGTTCTTTTCTCTCACCTATATATCTTGTCTGTCCAATGCCTTTACTCTTGAAATGTGAGAACCCACAAACTGAAATTTCAGAAAAGTCCTGACCTTATCACCTAGCCATTACAATTTAGCCTTTATCAAAAATATTGAAATCATTCTTGTTGCTGCATTCAACATATCGAAATGACGTACTAAATGTCAACTGCTCATATACCTCTGACCCTGATATATGGAGTTGTTATAAGACAGTAGGTGTTGTTCTTGCTACACGTTGTTGGACATAATGTTTTAGCTCATTCAAGTATGCATACAAAATGAGCAAAATGTTTATTTTCAAAGTAATCTACATTTCAGGTCCATAAAATAATATTCAAAGACAGTATTGCATCTGATTAAATTTATTGCATTAAAAATGGAGTATTTCAAAAATAATTTACAACAGATTTTATTTAAATAAAAAACTGTATCATCATACCAATCTAAAACAACCAATGAAACTTTAATATTTGCCATAAATGGTAATAAAACAAAATAAATTTTTTCCTTAAACAATTTAAAGAAGAAAGTTGGAAATATTACTATTTTTCAAATGATCATCTGCCAGAAAAGTTCTTGTAAACACATAAACATTTACATAGGTCATGTAATATGCTAGATTTTCTTTCAGTCTTACAAGCAGCCAAGTTGACATGACAGATATTACCTTATTCATTTATAAAATTACACAAATTTGTAATAAATAAAAGATCATTGTAGATCACTAGATTTTCTCAGTCTTTAATGAACTAAAAACAACAGTAATGACTACAAAGAAAAAGTAAATTCACATCTTTCCAAAGTAGGAATTTTGAAAGCTAGTAAGAGCTTTTGTAAATGAAACTTGTTGACCACTCTAAAAAAGAAAGCACAATGTCTATCTGTTACCTTTCCATAGATTTTCACATTGTGTGCACACTTCTTGCAAATGGAGTTTGTGCTGCTTTTGCTGAAAAAGAAGGAAACAAAAAAAAGTTTAATAAGTGAAAAGAGATTTTGCAGTATGGCAGTTACTGGACATTTTTCTTGAGGAAAAAAAAGGAAAAGTGAAACCAAATTGATTTTTGAGCAAACAAAAGCAGTCAGCCTATTAATTTCATTTCAGAAAAGAAAAATAACTTGTCGCATTGAAAAACAAGGAGTTATCATGTGTTCAGTTTACAGTATCCTTAAGTCTTATTTCTACAGTCAAAAGGTGACACACTTATGCGCTTCTCTTGTTTTTAATACTGCAATAAAAGTTATGCATAGAATATTGTAAGATGAAAACCAATACAATTTTTTATGTAGTTTAATAACATGAGAAAGCAGATTATGGCGCAGTGTCATCTCTGTGGGTCATGAAATTTCAAGTACCACTTAAGCTAATATTTTTTTTTGGTAAAAAACACTTTTTTTTTTTTTTTTTTACAGACTTTGATATAAAACAAAGATGTCTTTTAAAGAATCATTCAAATTATTGAATTCCTGTTTCTTTAACATCTGTCTATATTTCTGAGATGAGGTATTGTAACTACACTATTTACATTGTTTGGACTGTTGTCCTTATCTTTATCATCTCATCATGTCTTGTATATTCCAGCCATCTTCAGGTGATATACATTGGCCTAGTGAATAAAAGCGTTGGTTGAAGTAATCCAAAATTGACTTGACCCAAAGAGTTGTGAGAGGTGAACAAAAACTTGAAGAGTTGACTTACTAGAGGGAATTAACTGAAACTGAGATATACAGAAAAGGGTTGGCATGTGGAACTAGAACAATCTACTCCCATGGACTAAAAAGGTTGGGTTTGAAATTCCAATGTATATCACCTGAAGAAGGTCGAAACGTACAACAGCCGAAATATTGTGGGTATGACAAAGATGAGGGCAACAGGCCTAACAATGTAAATAGTGTAAGTCCTGTTTCTTAAGTTGTTATCACAAATCTTTACTGTTCACTTATTTTATAGCTGTCTTCAGGAATACAATCTGTATGGAAAGAGAAAAGCCAATTTAAAAACCACCCCAGCACCATGAGGCACACAAATGATTCCATTCCCAATAAATCAAGAGATTCAATTATAATAATATATTTTTCTCTTATCTATACACAAGCCAGACTTGTACACGTTAATGTATTTCCCTTCAATATTCTCACTCTTCATGGATATTCCCTATTATCTGGACCTCATTCCTAAAAAAAGTAATGCAAGTCTTATTATTCTATTTCAGCAAGGCATCATCTACCCTAACAGACTTTATCAGTTCCTCTTTGGAGGTGGCTTATCTTTTTTTAAATAAAAATCCATTTCCTTTTTTTTTTTTCACTTGTACATTTGTTGGAAAATAAGAAAATTGAAGGAAGTGATAAATAGATATATGACGTCAGGTGAGTGTGGAGTTCTTTATTCTACAGAGTAAACCTCTGTGAAATTAAATTGCCTTGTGTAATGTGTGGTGCTATGAATAAATGATAAAATTTGATGATACCATTTGCTTAAAAAAAAAAAAAAAATCACATTCTTTCAAGAGTATGGTTGAAGGCTGTAGAAGTGAAAGGTCAAAATGCTACTGTGACAGAAAAAGCAACATAAAGAATGAGTGAGCTAAATAGCATGAGCATCTGTTAGAATAACTTCTCAAAATTATTTCTTTCCAATATTTAATTTTTAGTTAAAAAAAAAAAAAAGGAATAAAGAGAAATCAGTACATTCTAAAGCATTTTTTTTCATTTACAAGTAATTGGTAACATGAATAAAATTAATTCAATTCAATGCTATCATTTTATTTTATAAAACTTAGAGAAGAGTACAAGTTTTTCAATGTTTTAAATGACAAAGAAAAAAATCATTATTTAATATTAAGGGCAATTTCAAATTAATGCTTTAAAAAGGATTTCTAAACAGAATATTAAATTGACATTTTGAACATGAAACATATTCTTACCTGTCTTGTTGAAATTCTGATCGGCAGTATGTACATTTGACAATGGGAAAGTTATTTCGACACTCCTAGAAAAATAAAAAATATAGAGAAGAATGAATACTCTGTAAAAATTATAAAATTAGGTACAAATTATATTTTATTGTAAATAAATATCAATGAACTTTATGACAAAGACAATGGCACAATTGAGGGAAACATTGTGCTATTTAAATGACATTTTAATCTTTGCTTAACAAATAAGACCTACATGTATTCAAAACATTTTGACAATGAAAATATCACTGAAATAGAATGTAGCTATATCTAATATTGGGTGTGTATGGTCTTATTTATATACTAATGTACACATGCCATCAAAATTGACGCTAAGAAGGAATGTATTATAAATAATTTTTGTTTAATCCAAGTACAATTTTGTAATTTAAATAGTTTGTGATTAACATTAATAACTGAACAGTGTACAATTTATAAACACCTCAGGAAAGATATCTGTATTTTATCCTCATAAATATTACATATTTACAACTAAAATTTTTTTTACTGCAAAAGTTCCTAAAGCACAATATTTTTTGTGTAAACTTTGGAAGGTCTGAGTAATCCTTGACAGTCTGTAGATTCAATCTGTAATTTCAGAGTCTGAGAAAGAAGGGAATTATTACACAAAAAAAAAAATCAAGTTAGAATTTAGTTCTTACTGTGAACTGTATCACCGTTGTTTGGGGTGATCTCTGTAGTTTGTCAGCACAGTAGATTTTTGTGTGTGAATGTGAATGGGATTGACTTCTGTGTCTCGTGAAAATTTTGCACGCACACACACAAAAAACATATATATATATATATATATATATATATAATGTGTGTGTGTATATGCGCGTATGTATGTAATTCCTTTAACACTAAAAGTTTAGGTCATTTTCCTCTTAAACAGATTTAATGAGATAGCAGGAATAACATATTTCTGATAAAGAGAATGAGTTTCAGATTTAAAAGGAATCCAAAAAATAAAATTAAAAACAGAAATAATGAGCACTGATCCGTATTTTGTGTTGACTAAATATTGAGAAAAATGAATTGATGTTGGGTTAATGAATTTCAGAAAAATATTTTCATTCTGGCAGTGAAACTGGAAAAAAAAATCTTTTATGATACAAGCATGATCCTTTGATTGGGGATAAAAGGTCAGAAATTTAAGTTTGTACTCAACTATTAACAGGTTTTATAATGAAACTGGTATTTCTTGTTTATACAAAACTGTCTATTTCTATGGAATGTCACCATTTTTAATGCCTTAAGTGAAAGATACAAAATAATTAAAACAGATTTAAAATAAAGGATTTCAATCCATTAAAGTGTTTTTAGTTAAAAATATATTTAGTACATACAAGTTATTTGTAATAGTGAAATGATTGCTAGTGGCTTTAATTTCTAAGTGCTCCCCTATTGTAGCCAGACTAAATGAAGTAGTAAATATCTATTGATTGTTGGTTTATAAATTAAAAACACACAAAGTTGAAATAATGATGGGCAAAGCAATTTTATTTTAAAAATTTGTCTTTATTTCTCATGAAATGGTCATGGATATTTGTAAGAAAATGTAGAAACATCCACTTTTTGTTTGTTTTACAACTGATTTCACTATGATTTTCAAATAAATCCTGTAAAAAAAAAAAAAATTTTTTTCATGAAACAAGCCAACCCATAACAGTTGGCTTTATAATCAGTGTCCTACTTTCATCTCTTGATAAGTAAATTCTTCAGCATATATTCACTCATCTTAATTCCCTACTACAAAGATTACTGAATCTGTTGATGAAAAGGCTGAATGAAATACTTAGATCCAAAATGTGTCTAATCTCGTGAATATCCTCCTAACCATTTTGCTACTGTAGGCACATATACAACAGACATTTGATGTGGAAACTAAGACAAAGCTGTAACTTAAGAATTCACATAAAATAAATTAGTTTTAGTGTAATCAAAATTTTAAAATTATTTTTTATGAAAATTTGCTCATCCCCCCCCCCCATGTTTCTAAGTTTGGGTAGGCCTACAGAAAAAAAAATAATTCATTATGAAAAGCAAAGGAAATTATTGTGGCAGTAATTAAATCAAGTATTATCATCTGACAGCATATTATCAAAATCATCCCCCCACCATACTTAATATAAGATGGAGGTGTTGAAAAGTTCTCACCAGTCCAAGAAGCCCTTCAAAAAAGTTTGATGTTTGGTGATCAGAATTTAGGAAGTGGGCTGGGCTAAGCATCCCCAACTTGTAATAACCCCACTTATCTTAAACTACCATGTTATGATGACTTTTTTTTTTTTTTTAAACCAATTCAGCCCAAGCAAGGTGGTAATGCCACTAAGATGCAAGGGGCTACTGTCAGTGAAAGAGAATTAAAAAGACTTCAAAAGGAACTGGAAACAAGGGATAAAGCTCTACTCCTGTTCAAAAGACCAGGGAGGAATGCAAACCAAATGATAAGTGACCTATCTACTCCTACTGAGGAAAAATAAATTTCATTCTTATCTATGACAACTGCCATTCTGAGCAAAGAATATAACTTTTTTTTTTAAATATATTTTTTATTTCTCAAATTTGTCATTATAATCTGGAGTCACTGCAGATTTATTTGCAAATTTCAGGTTAATTCTGAAAGCAAGTAAAATGAACAATGCTTTCTGCAGTCATTAGAAGTCTGAAACCAGATATTTAAATAAAACTGTTCTAGAACAGAAATCAACCTGTGCCTGGTTTTAGTATTTGAGAAAAAAAACAAAAAATAAAAACATGTTAAAAAAAAAGGTGTAAATAACAAATTTGTACAATTAAGTTTCCCAGTATGGCTTTCTACTGTAAGTTTAATTATGTTAAAGAGAAAGTTGTATAAACTTGGTTGTACGAGACAAAGATAATTAGTTGTAGTAAATGTGTATTGGTTGCAAGTCTATAAACATTTGTCCTTTTTATTGAAAACCATACTTCTATGTATAAACATCAGATGTACAGTGATTGTAAAAGAGAAAAATGTGCAATAACCATAATAAACTTATGGCATGTTAACATTTTTACAATAGTAAACAATTGTTAATCTTTAATTAAATATCAAATTTATTCTGTGTAAAGTTAGTGAAATGCACAAGGTTTTTTGAATGGTGCAAGTCTGCCCCAAAATGCTGCAAAGAGAGACTGTAATAGATTTTACACATTATCTAAGAATAAGCAAGACCTGTGAAAGACAAAAGAATTTAATTATGTGTGTGTATATCTTGGCCCATTTCTATTTTAGTCATTAGATAGAATTGTATTTTGCTTTAACTTTAGCAAAAATGGTACAGCTGTTTGGAGTACCAGTTTTACCCTGTCTTCTTTTCAATTGCAATTGGTGAGACTACCGCAAAACTCCACAAACACAAAGCACGACCATTCAACTCTTTAGCATCTGCTGCCCGTTTAATGTTCTCACGTTCATTTTATCGAGTAGCTTGGAAATTTGCATAAGCCACAAATTCGCCTCACAAAATCTCCGAGCTCAGAGATCAAATTGCAGCTTTTGGATCAGCCATATTTTCTTTCTCATATTTGGCATGGGAGACATGTATGAGGGTGTTTTCCCTCCTACATTAACTTCATTTAAAAAGATCACTTCTGTATCATGACAGCTGTTATATCAGCATCATTCATTTTTTTTAATTATATTGAAATATCTTCATTTATTAATTCTAACATTAAAGATGAAAAAAAAAAAGCAACATTTTTATTTTAAGAACGGTAAAAATGCAAGTCAAAAGCAAAACAATATTTATGTAGTTTATAGAGAAAACACTGAAAGACTGTATAATTCAAAGGTGGCTTGCAAAGATCCATTCTGGAGATTTACTTGTTGAATAATCAAATACTTGAAAATAATCCATCTTAAGCAATTTAAGAAACAACTAACAGAGTCAAAATAACCAAATAAAGCAGTGAAAAGTTATTTGCACCAGTTTGGTTATGTTAATTGCTTTGATGTGTAGTTTCCACATAAGCAAAAAATCCTAATGGGATGTATTTCTGTGCATAATTCACTACTTAAAAATATTGTTGTATTCTGGATATAAGTGGTATACAAAAGATGATGGGATACCTGAAATAAACCACCACTAATCAGACTTAAATGCCAGTCTTCATCTAAAGAAAGTAACACCGGTATTAGAAAAGAGTAGTCTTCTATCAATGATTGATTCAAACAAATACTGTTGTTCCCAATTAGACCAATTAATATATATTATCCTCCTGAATTATTTAGTAGAAAATGTATATTTTATTAAGATAACATATTTTGCATGTTTCTTTGGTGATCAAACAAAAATTGTTATAATATACCTAACTAGTTGTTTATGTAACTGGTGATATTAGAAACGGAGTTTATTAAAGAAATATATCAAAACATTAATTTATACAAATAATGCCATATATATTAAAACAGTAATTCTTGTAAGAGGACAAATAATAATAATGAGGTGGTGCTGAAAAATTCTCAGCTAAACATACTTCACAAAATTAATATTTCAATGATCAAATATGAAATTTTTTTTTTAGTTTTTTGGAAGGTTCAATGAAAACAGAGTTGACGTAGTACCAACTGTTGAAGTGCTGGGTGAATACGTGGAAGAACACAAACATTTCATGGCTTAAGGTCACCATTCTTGGTCAGACCAAGAACTTTTCAATACCCTCTCATAAGCATAGTTTTTAAGCCAACTGCATGTGAATCCATTATATGAAATCAGGGTTTTATTATACAGGCACTTTGTATCACAATATTATGACTTGAATTTATGATTGCTAAGTGTCTGCACTAATAAACCAAATTTTTCTGCTATAAAAGATGTTGAGAATTGAACTGAACTCCAAATTGTGCAATTTTTTTCTTCTAAAGTCTGTTTAGGCAAATTTTAATAGACAAAATGTATTTATGGAGCTACTGATGTAGAAAATTAAGATGTTCAAGTGGAGTACAAAAAACCGCTTAGTCTGACCCACTTCCCACAAATTCACAGAGCACCCATTCTTTTTGGAA